TCAGTACTCTATTAAAACATAGTTCAGTTCACTCTTTTTAGTCATGGGCCAAACACTTATAAATATGTTAGTTTGTGCATTAAAAGCGTGTGGTGATCTGGAACGTTAACATAAATCATTGGGTCCATCCCTTCATAACGGAAAAACAATTTTTTGTGTTACAAACCTTTTACGAGCACATGCGAAACCATATTTCGGAGTTCATATGTATCAAACATTGTTTGAACACCACACGACCGGTAAAAAATACACAAAACAAACTCAAAAACCACTGGAAAGGTCCGAAGAATATCTCCAATAAGCGCGGCTGCCGCGCGGTCGAACCGTATCGTGTGGCCACTCTCATAAGACTACGTGTGTCATCCCCTCCAACGCGGCTTAACTTCGCGCGGTCGGGGGACGACATGTTGCGGCTCAACCGCACATGCGGCTAAACTTCGCCTCGTGTGGCCACTCTCATTTGATTCAATGTGTTGTCGAAGCCCTTAACTTCGCGCAGCTTAACTTCGCGCGGTTAAACCGCCTCGTGTGGCCGGGGCCTAAGGATGAAAATTAAATGTTTGTTGTTTAAACAATAACATTTGCAAATCTACTTTTTCATCACATAGGAAAAGAACACACTTCAAGTTTGTAGGAGGATATTTTACCATGACAAATAATAGTTTTCTACTCAACCCAATGGAAATTTGGGGATCTATCTTTGTCAATCTATACAAAAACTTTTATTACTCCGTTTTATCATCAAGTCCTTTTATCTTTTTACATCTCGATGCGACCCAATAAGCTAGAACGCTTGTGACCAGAACGATCAAAGCGTCAGTCTATTGTGTACCTATTCACGTCACCACGTTTGAAATAAAACACCTTTTATAGGCTTCTATAAAATGAAATTCTGTTAATTCCCATCAAAATGCAAACCTTTGTCTTGTGATGGAAAGTTGATTGAACATTAATTCTTGGACTAACTAATCAACATGTAAAGCTGTACATAATGTTTTTTGTTCCTTTTAATAGCTTAATACAGTTTTATTACATGCTGGTAAATGATATTACAGTGTTTAAAAGGATTAATTACAATTAAATGTCGGTAGTGGCTAATTACAAACATTAAATACAAAAGCTGTACATATTACATTTTAAATTTTGTTTGCAAATGTTATATCATGCACATTTAAAGACACGGTGAATATAAATCAGTTTTTACTCCACAACTGCTTAATTTAAATGCAATCACAATAATTGACCTAGAACTTCGATTTTTTAACATAGTTCATCAGACAACTTAATGACTGAGTTATCTACATAATATTAGATACCAAAGAGCGTTGAAGTCGAGATTTTGAACCCCGTTTAGAGTTTGTTTGGACACCATCGGAAAAATGATTCTCAAAACCAATAATTAAACTCTGAAGAGATATATTATTTTCAATATTAATGATAAAAGGTACAAAAACAAATTGTCAACAAAAAGCAGCAAACCGGCATACAGCACAATTTATTATCTCAGTAAATCATCCTAGTTTAAAAATGCAAATCAGATAACCGGATGGTAGATAGCACATAGCTGATAGTGCATAGTAGATAGCCTGTTGCGTGGCCATGCATGCATGTCTCCGTGCATGCAGCATGCTAGTACATGCCCATGCTGGGGGCGTGTGTGTGCATGCCCGCCGCGCCCGCGATCCGCGCATTTAGATAAATTACCAGATAATCGCGGATGTAACTTTGATAGATAATATCTTCTGTCACGAATATTCCCGATTATTTGCCGTCAGAGTCGTGGTACTGCGATTCCACTTAGTAATTGTGTTTATGCGATTGTCTGTGGAATACTTCAGTAACAAGTGCGGCGTTACAGCGAGGCTAGAACTGAATTGGAAATGTGTTTATCTGAAGTTGTATATCTGGAAGTTTCTGATAATTATGCTCCATTTGACCTTAATATATCTTTTAAGTTTCGTCGCATCCATATTGGAAAGGTTCGATGATTGGTTGTTTTGCGAAGTGCCAAGTTTCAGAGCTATGTTCGACCAAAAACAAAGAGACTTGCTGTACGGGAAAAACTAATTCATCTGTATGTGATTGCGAGTTTCCCACAGTAATAAAAGATTAGTCAATAGTTTTTAGTCCTAAGTTTGCATTTTCATATGTAATGTCATTAAATGAAAAAATACATTTCCCTGCGAACTTTACATTATCGTTTAACAATTTGTTAGTAGTTGAATAAGCATGTACGGATTTAGATTTTTATTGAGATATGAATAGTTGAGAATTTATAAATTGTGTACACAGGAAAGGAATGAAAAGCTAAATTAATTCAGGTAAAAACTAATTAGGCTAGATGAATCTAATTTAGGTGGGTCTGATAAAATTTAGTCTTGAAAATACACATATCATGCAGTGAGCTATACAAAGCCATAAAACATTTAATTGATCTGGTGACAAATTGCAAACTTACAATCCTGTCTGGCCCTTGAAAAGTCTCTTGCTAACTGAAGTAGGTAACTCTAAAGTTGCACCAGCATTTAACCATCTCTGAAGTGCATGCAATTTATGTTTATGACCGTAACACCACGAGGCGGTCCTTGATAACACCACCTGACCTTGTAGGTGTCTGTGCATTATACAAACTATTCTACCGCTATAAACAACCCACTGAGATAAATATACAACATATAATGCATATAACGTTACCATTGTGTGAGTTGGTCTTGTTTGCATACAAAGAACCTCTTAGTTCTTTCATTTACATTTCCTGGGTGAAAATTCACAACAAAGAGGTTATAGTTTTAACCGTTGTGAAGTGAATTTCCAAATAGCTTCCTAGTTTGTATACTTAACAGGATTTAACAATTGCATGCCAAACCAAAAGCCAAACAATTTACCAAATGATTTTTTTAGGCGTCTCCATTAGAACTTATATCAACAAACTGAAACAGAAATATTATATTTTGTTTTCTTCAATACAAAGTTATTGGAGAACGAGAAATTTATTTTTTAATGCCGCACACTATTATTTTACATCATAGGGGGTTTTCGCGTAAATTATCAGATGCAGTTCTCACTTAAGAAATGTATCTTAATTTGTTGCTTGATAGCTGAAGCTACATTTCAAGGCTCAGGTCTAGGTATTATCATATAATAGCCATAGTGATTCGCGAGATTTGAACCTAAGCCACTAAAACATAAGCCCCTGCATTCATACCTACTATAGACTACTATACAATACACTAAGGTGATTTTTATTGTTAAATGTTTGTATTTGACATTGTCTGCAGGTAACAGTTTAAAATGCACATTTCAAACTACAATCCCATTTCTCGTTAATATTCATAGGGGACGCGTGACGGAACCACTGTAACTGTTTATTTCCAGTAAAAAAACTAGCAAAGAACTTGGAAATCTGTAAAGTAGATCGGTGAATTTACATAGATATGAAATAACGCGGCAGCAGACCGCGGCAGGTGATGTTATTTACTGCTGCATATTGATTGTAATTATACAAGGTGGGCGAGCGCTGTGCATGCATGCATAGGTCATGCGGCGAGCAGTGTTCATGCATGCATAGGTCATGCGGCGAGCGTCCGATGCATGATGTGATTCCACAGGACGCGGTCTATTTGTTGTCCCATGATAACATTCTTACACAATTCGTATGCAAACTTGTAACAACATTTTGTAACAGAAATCTAAAGCCACTCTCCAACACTTCTCTGTGGGCTCATAGAAGTTTGTGTGAGCGGTAGGTCCACTGGGACTTTGACTTGGTACTCTTCAGTCTTGGGTAGTTTAGGGGTACAGTCGACCTGTCTCAGCTATTAGTTGTTTTGTGGTTTGGTTATTGGTTTTTGGTTTTAGGTGTGTATAGTGAGTGTTTATACTGTTAGTTTGGTAGGTTGGCGAGTTGGGTAGTTTCGCTTACCTTTTGGCAGCTTCTACGCTTCAGGTGAGAGGGTTGGGGGTTGTCAACATAAGAGGATGAACGGGATGGAGTTTAGATGAGTATGTTCTGGTTAGGGATGCTTATGAACAGAAACCACGACGGTTGTTGAGGACACGGAGGGTGCATATACCGTAGACTAATGGTGAGTCTTTTCTTGGAGTGTCGAGTGATGGGGTGATTTAGGAGACTTTAGAGTTGAGTTTAGCTTCGAAGTATTGGCGGGATATCTTCAGGGTCAGGCGGATACTATTGAAATATACGTGGACAAACTAAGATCTGGTCCCAACACCACAAGGGAGTTCAGGATAATAACAGGGTTGAGACTTAAAGGTATTGAATGTGATGTGCAAACGGAGGCAGTAGGACAAGGTTATTGGAGGATGTGGTCTGTCAGATGAGTGTGTGAGGTCCAGAGGACGGCATCGTCATCGAACTGACCGAGACCACAATCGGAGGAGATGATGGGAGGTCGCGTATGTACAGAGTGTACAAGGGGAGTCTGATGGTGGGGATATTCACACAGAAGTATTGACACTAAGCTAATGTGGTACTCACGGGTGTGGTTGTAGGTGTAGGGGTCGCGGGGGGGGGGGTGATATTCACACAGAAGTATTGACACTAAGCTAATGTGGTACTCACGGGTGTGGTTGTAGGTGTAGGGGTCGCGGGGGGGGGGGTGATATTCACACAGAAGTATTGACACTAAGCTAATGTGGTACTCACGGGTGTGGTTGTAGGTGTAGGGGTCGCGGGGGGGGGGTGATATTCACACAGAAGTATTGACACTAAGCTAATGTGGTACTCACGGGTGTGGTTGTAGGTGTAGGGGTCGCGGGGGGGGGGTGATATTCACACAGAAGTATTGACACTAAGCTAATGTGGTACTCACGGGTGTGGTTGTAGGTGTAGGGGTCGCGGGGGGGGGGGTGATATTCACACAGAAGTATTGACACTAAGCTAATGTGGTACTCACGGGTGTGGTTGTAGGTGTAGGGGTCGCGGGGGGGGGGGTGATATTCACACAGAAGTATTGACACTAAGCTAATGTGGTACTCACGGGTGTGGTTGTAGGTGTAGGGGTCGCGGGGGGGTGACAGGGCCGCGCCGTGCCCTTGTAGTGGCTCACCACACACGTTATGAGGCCCAGGGTAGTTATCAGCAGCACCGCCAGTACAGCGACGCTCCACACTGCAACATCAAAACACACGTAAATCAAACAAATAATTCTGGCAAAATTAATCAGAAAGTTTCAGTAGACCTACACATTCGCTGAGCCTCGTCACTCTGGCCAAAATCTGTCGCAGACAACGTCGTCAACCATGTCGGTGACAATGTCTGCAAGAGTGGAAACACTTGAAAAAAGTTGTAGGTAACAATGTCGACGACAACGCTTTATCGGAAACCGATTCCTAGATCAACACTGTCGCCAACACTAGTGTTGCGGAGTGGAAAAAGCGAAATGTCGACAACTGCTCTTGAGATGTTTTTCTTTGGTCTAGCAAGTTTGTCGGTGATAATGTTCTGACTTCAGCAAAGTCGAAAGGAAACTTTAAATACTCAAAAAACAACTTACGCAACAGTATCATAGCACTGTACAAGTACAAGCTAGTTAAACTTGCTCTTCTAGAGACCTAATGTCTTACTTCGGCAATATTTACACTACTCTAGAACAGAGTTTCTCAATGTGTGGTCCGAGGACCCCTGGGCAGGTTTTTGGGGGTCCGCGAAAAACATTCTATTCCAATTTATTTGTAACTCAGACAAAAAACACCTGTTTCTGAAAATAAAAGTTTCGGTTTGCATGGCAAAATGCATACGTAGCAAGCTCACCTATGACATGCCTAACACATGCCTATGAGCAGGTAAATATTGGTTAATAGGGGTATGGGGTGAGAGTAGTTGTAGGGGGTCCGTATACATACATAATTAATTACGGGGGTTCTTTAGTAGGTGAAGTTTGAGAACCCCTACTCTAGGACTCTATTATTGCATTTTCTATAGAAGTTTTAAGTTTGTTACAGGTTTCTGGGGTGTAAAAACAGCAGGATATTTGAAACCCCGAGCTCACGAAAGACAAAGAATATCATCAGCAGATAGAACTACATATTCGCACCTAGCAAGGGAGAGCGGAGAGATGCTTTTACATGTTCACGAACTCTCATTTATGGGGATTACTCTTTGAATTCTGCTCTGTCTTCCGCTCTAGGCTCTAGGCGTGTTTTAATTGCAGACTCTATGCGCGGCTTTCCAATGGAACGGCGGTTATAAAAGCCACGTTAAAAGCTCTGCAATAACACTTTTATGGAGTCCAGACAGCTGTGATGATGTTTCAGAGCAGCGCTAGTTTTCAAGAGCCTTATTCACTGTAATAGTTTTCCCTTGGGCAACATTTTTGTTTTATAATTACATGTTTTTATTACGACTTCTTTAGAAGAAATACAAATATTAAAGAGAATTTACTATTTTTTTATACTGACATTTGCAATGAATGTTTCATCTGAAAACAGATTGGCCCACAATACATAACGAAATTTAATCCATAGTTAATTTTATCAATTGGCCATGAAATAAGAGCTGTTGGCGAACAAAGTATATTTTTTTAATAAAAATCTCCAGTGAATTAAATACTGTTTTAACCATGATCTGAGTCCTAAGCTATCTCAGCTAAAATTAAATTCTAAAATAAATGACGATACAGTTCATAATCTACATCTGAATTTTAACATCTGAATTGGTGATATTTCTTACACCTAAAATTAATTATGATTATTTATATTATCATGTATAGTAAAATGTTAAAAAAGTAAAACAGAAAAAACTAATTTTCTTGTTTACTGTAAAAACAGCAACTGTTTTTGCAAAGGGTTAGATTATTGGTCGCTGTCTAGTCTAGACGAGATAACAAAAACCATCGTAATTAATGTTTTTCATCGTCAACGTCAATGCATCGCGTCACCACCCAACCTCCAGTCAATAGATTACAGTCGGGGAGAATAATAGATACTTGTTTAACCTGGTTACATAATCATGTCCACTTTATTCTAAAACATTACATAGGAAATAAATAGGCAACACAATATAATTATAAAATCTTACTATCGAAAAAATATCTAGTTTGTAGTGATGTTTGCTAATGTTAATTTTAGTTTCATAAGGTTTTGAGTTGTTTTATTTTAATTGTTTAGTTATTATATCGAACTGTTATTGACAAAACTAGGAAACTATCAACCACGTTTAAGTTGTCGCCAGTTGATTATCAAAATGGGCGTAGTTGATAATTTAACATACCGACAGAATCAGCAACATTTAAGTCAAAACCGATATAGGAAAACTCTTCTCAGTAACGACAAATGAAATATCCCCGCCGCAGCAAACCTGCCGTCTTAGCGAATTTCCATTTGGCCGAATTGATTTTCAATTGATCTATTTAAATAACATTAGGTTTAACGAGTACCTAGGTTTGCTGCTACAAGGAAACTAATAAAGTAGTGTGTTTTTAGTAAAATATTGATAGCTTACTATAAAATAAATAAATTTGCCAAGTTTGATCAAAATATATCCATAAACAAGCAAACTACAACATTTTACAATATTCTCCATAAGAATAACATGGGAATTTTAAATTTACCATTTTTTTAGTTTTCTCCGTAACCAATAACCGTACAAAAACACTTTGATATACTGAATTGTTTGTTTTTTTAAGCTCTTTAAGAAGGTTTAGAGAAAAATTGGGAAATTTTGTGTTTTGAGGGTAAGAAGTGAGAAAAACCAATTTTTACCCCATAAAACCCCCCATAAAACCCTGTTCCCATAGTCCGATCATGCTGGATCGCGAACTCATTCAAGTTTATCCCGACTTACACCTTCAAACCAAATTTCATCAAAATCGGATAAAAATTACTCAAGTTATCGTGTTCACGGACATATATATATATCTAATATATAAAATTCTCGTGTCACAGTGTTTGTCTGCAAACTCCTCCGGAACGACTTCACCGATCGTTATGAAATTTGGTGTGTAAATTCTGTAGGTATGCGAATCGGACGTAAACTATTTCCCGTTTCGAAATTCTTAAAAGGGCTCCGCCCCAGTGGCTCTGGAGTTTCCCATGTTAACCTTATGAGAAATGGAATTAATGAATCTTAACAGCTGTTTCAATTAAACAAGTTGGTTCTGTTCTATGATGTTCAATAGCATTAAAGTTACAAGGATTACCAACAGGGTGCAGCACTATTATTTCTTTTACATTTATGACAACTGCTAATTTGCAACCAAAAGGTGAGTGAGCGTAGCGAACGAACTTCAACCTGGAGGCGAGTTAGCGTAGCGAACGAGCTAACCTGAAGGCAAGTGAGCGCAGCGAACGAGCTCCAACCTAAAGGTGAGTGAGCGTAGCGAACGAGCTCCAACCCAAAGGTGAGTGAGCGTAGCGAACGAACTTCAACCTGGAGGCGAGTTAGCGTAGCGAACGAGCTAACCTGAAGGCAAGTGAGCGCAGCGAACGAGCTCCAACCTAAAGGTGAGTGATCGTAGCGAACGAGCTCCAACCCAAAGGTGAGTGAGCGTAGCGAACGAACTTCAACCAGGACGTGATTGAGCGATGCGAACGAGATCATCTTGAAAATTAAACGTAACGGTACTTTCTTTCCATCGGACTGTCTTAGGGGAAACCTATAACTTAGGCGATACGAAGTTCGCCGGGTCAGCTAGTATATATATATATATATATATATATAAAAATATTAACCAATGGTGTTTTTGGCCTCTGGGGACATTAAAATGAAAAAGTAAATTGGTCCCGGGCCTAAGTCTTACCATGAGACCTACGGTAATAGCTACTTCCCTATAGGGAAATTCGCTAAAATTAGGCATAGAATAAATTTTACCCTATGTGAGTTGCTCCTTCAATAAAAAAAAATAAAAAAACTACTGATCGGATGTCTTTTTAGCGAATTTCCCATATAGGGAATAAGCTATTACCGTAGTACTCATGGTAAGACCTGGACGCGGGACCGATTTTTTTTTTCGTTTTGAGGTCCCTAGAGGCCAAAAACACCATCCGTTCAAATTCATATATATATATATATATATATGTGTCCGTCAGCACGATAACTCGAGCAAAAATGATCCGATTTTGATGAAATTTGGTACAAACGTGTAAACCTACGTTTATTCGAACGAGTTCGCGATCCAGCATGATCGGACCATGAGAACGGGTGTTTACGGGGGGTTTTATGGGGTAAAAATAGGTTTTTCCCATTTTTGACGCAAAAAACACAAAATTTAGCAATTTATTTCCAAACCATTTTGTAGAGCTTAAAAAAACAAATAATTTAGTATATTGAAGCGTTATTATGCGCCTAATGGTTACGGAGAAAATTCTAAAAAATTGTAAATTTAAAATTCCCATGTTATTCTTATGGAGAATAAGTAAACTGTTGTAGTTTGCTTGTTTATGAACATATTTTGATCAAATTTGGAAAATATGTTTTTATTTCTTACTAACTATTAACATTTTACAAAAAAAAAAACGGTTTTACCCTCCCTGATGCAGCAAACCTAAGTACTTGTTAAACTAATTCTATTTAAATCGGGAATAAATGCTATATTTTTAAGTAGACAGTTCAGTGTAAATCCAATCAGTCAAATGGAAATTCGCTTAGTCTGCAGGTTTGCTGCGGCGGGGGTATTTTCAGTACCGGTGGCGTACAGTCAATAATCGAACAACATGTAATGTTATTACTGTGATTATTTTTCAATAACTCTTGGAAATTCTAGTAGGGATTCTTGGAGGTCATGATATGGTAAATTATCACCTCAAACACCATTGGTGAGATGGATCCACTCCATAACTCGGATAGATGCAGCTTTAACTCAGATTGAGAGCTAGATTTTATTGTATAACAATACCGGTACCCAAGTTATCAGCGTAGGCTTACATAGTTATTAGTAAAATACAGATTTTTGTCTTTTTGTACTGGAATTTAATTTTGTTTCCAAGTATGTATTTAATGAATTTACGGAGCACATGGCCATGAATATTGTTGTAATTACGTACTGTTGATAACTGGCACCAATGTTATTCGTTATACGTTAGTAAGTGTTATATGCCATTAATTAGATTACAATGCACTATTTTTATGACACCGATACAATAGGGTGCAAATGTTAAGGTGAAGTTGAGCGT